CAGGAAGCATCACACAACGGTAGGTTTCCCCTGATTTGGACACAGGCAGAGGTCAATATCAGTGCTATGTTTTATTTGGATCTACACGCAAGACAGAATAGCGAACCAAATCACTGTCTGCTGCGAAGGCTTTGTATTCCATCACGCAGTGTCAAAACTCCCAGGAAAGTAAAGTCAGTTGCTGAAGCCAAAGAGAGCATAGATGTTTACTTTCGTTCATTACTTCCTCAGCCGGCTTTTCCATTGGCGGCCTGTTTAGGCAAGATATTTCAATTTGACATGGCCTGCTGCCAATACTTTGTTTTTCAAATTAGAGAGCAGCCAAAAGAAGCACTGTGTTAAGGAAGGCTCTATCTTGAGTTGACACTTTTTCTAAGAAGATCTTGGCTACCAGGAAAAGAAACACCAGAGAAAGATGGATTCCTCAATAGGTCACGCTTGTTGAGAAGATGGAGAGGTTACCACATTCAACAGTACATGGACATGAACATAGAACAGTGTTTCCCAATCCTGGTCCTCAACGCACCCTGCAGCCTGCACACAACGTAGTGCAACGCTGGACCAGATTACTTCTTTCCTGACAAAATGCTGGACTCCTACCCTCCTCCTAAATTTGAGATGATCTTTAATTAGGAAGGTGGGCCTTGCGAAGAAACAGGTGTCCTCGTTCGTACAGTGGCCAGTATCTCCGCCTAGAGGGACCGTCAGTAGGTTCCACCAAGACTTGAATTCAGATTGCTGATTTCAAAATCCAGAGTGCTCACCATTACACCATGGAATCCACAATTTGAAAAGTATTGGCCATCATAAAGCGCCAAAAAGGAAACACCTAGCATTTTTTACTCCCACCAAAATTATTATCATGTCCCAATATCTGACAGTGCTGGCAACAACAACCCACCAATTCTTAAATGCTGATGGTTTACCACTTTTTATGAGGATATTGGCTTTCAGACACTATGTTTCATTAATTTTGGGGAAATAAGTTTTTATTTTAAGAGAGAGAGCATGTTTAACTTTTTTAGGATGTTTTATTTTTACCCATTGTCAATGAGATTGTACTTTCGTTGCTCTGCTATTGCAAATACCTAATAGTTTGTATGGAATTGGCTCTCTGAAGCCAATTATATTTTACACAATAGTGAGCAAGAGGTAGGTGTACCCAGCCTCTTTTTCAATAACAATGGGAAAAGGCCCAAGCATCTTCTTTTACTTTGAATTGTCTTGTAGTTAGAGTTCTTGGCTTTGCCTTGCTAGCAGGAATTTTGTATGGAAGGAAGAAAAAACTTTAAATTTACTCCAGTGAGCACTTTGACAGGATAATCTGGACCAGCAGTTCGAAAACATCAATCATCTCTGAAAATGAAGAGCAACTACAATCAATCCACAACTTAATGCCAATGAAAATTTATTGTGATATCTGATACTTTACATTAGCGTGAAAATAGACATGTGACATGGCTTTACTAAGACAAAATGCAAAGCAATGAAGTTAAATAAAAAGCACATATTTATTTTTTGAATTTGGAAAAAAAAACATAAAACAGGCACGACATACCAATTATAAACATAACATGCTTTAGACCTTAATCTGTAGCTTTAACAGTCCTAAGAAGAATAATTTGTTCCGTCAGTTCTCATGTAAAACCATTTTGCATTAAATGTACTTACTTTCAGGTATGTTTGAGACAGTAACAAAAAGTAAGTAGCCAGCGTCACGTTAAAACAGAATAACAATAAAAAGTAAACAATTTTCAGCAGCAAATATTGTATTAGTCATCCAGGCTGCCTTGATGCTGTGAAGCTCATGGAATCAAAACATTCTTTTGAAAGACAATGTCATAAATGACAGGCTTTCTATCCTTTGATTTTGGTATAACAGTTTAAACTCCAGGCCCCAAGTTTCATCTATATTTTTTTCACAGCCAGTAACTCATAATCCCTATTCACTTTTTAGAATGTAATTGTTATTTGGTACACACTTTTAATGACACTGGCAACTGCTTTTTGTTGGTTCAATTTTTGACAGATCAAAGAAAGTATTTGGGAGTCTCCACTAAAGTCAGAAATCTCAAAGCACTTGTTGCTGGAGCCATCTTGGGGATCCTTTTAAAGATATTGAAAGTCTGCATGGAACAAGTGGATAATCATCCATGGTCAAAAATAAATAAAAATTCAATGCAAGAGGAAGGATCAGACAAGTCGACTTGCTTCCATATCAAACAACTCGGACAATCCAAAAAATATCTAGTCAGATCAATTAAGTTCTTGGGCTAGGACATTCAAGGGATGCAGCCCATGATAATATGACAGGAAGAATTAAAATCTAGATTGAGCCACAACATTATTTTATTTCATCAGCACCTTTTTAATGATTATCCAACCACAATAATTCTAGTTAATTGAGGAGCTTTCCATTGTGATGCAGAATTGTACATTTCTGTTTTTTCTGGGCCATTTGGAGCCAAAAATAAAATTTCTTGGAAAACATAGAAATTGAGTATAATTCCATTACTGGGCAAATCCAAATGTAGAACTTCATACAATATAAACACGTTCTAATATAGTCACCCTGTGGTTAGATAATTAGTTGTTTCCAAGACCATAAACTAAATTCCCATGACCATTCACTGGTTGTTCATATCACTTAGGCCTTGTAATATTTCCAAGTTCACATTTGGTGAAGAATGCCTGAGTGCACTATTAAAGGGTAAACAAACAAGTTCAAAGCTTCAACCATGCCTGAGGGTTTCAACAATGTGATCAGAGAGTACTGACACAATTAGGACAATCCTTTCTGCATCATGGAAGCCATGTTAAAAGTTTACCACTTTCCCTGCTGGAGAGTCGTTTTAAAGCGAAAAGTCAGGTTTTTGATTGTACTCCAGTGCTGTAAATTGAAATAAAACAGGCTGCATTTGAAGGCATTTTAAAAACAAGACAGGTGTTGTTTGAACTTGAAAGCCAGTCAAAGCTGCAAACTGGAATGCAGCACAAGGGGTAATGAGGCCAAAGTTCGCCAAACAAATATAACTCATCAAATAGACCACATTATAAACAGTTAATTTTCTGACAAATCCAGCACAAGAGTGAATACGTTAAAGAAATACAATCAAGATGTTCACCAGCCAGTGTAGCCTCCTACTAAGGACCTCCAAGATGGCTGCCATAGAGTATATTTCACCTGAAAGCCCTCAATACAGGACACACTGTGGTGATAAAAGGATCTTGGTAAAGGCTCTCCCTGTGACATGGTGGGAGATTCCAGCTCACCCTCAACATCTACATGGCTCAGCAGAGGCCTAAACGATGGCCCTCTAATGGGCGCTCATCACACAAGCTAATTAAACAAGCTTACAAAAAAGGATTGGGTAGGTGTGTAAATCTCTTAACAAAAAAAAAAAAACTAAGCCGGCTTTCAACCTCATATCAGTGAGAGCAACAGTGAAACAATTAAACTGCAAAAGATAAAGGGGAAAAAAAGTTAAACCAAGAAAAACGAGGTAAAACAGAAAACTTAAAAAGAGAAAGTAAACATTCACTATTGTGTGCAGCCATGCATGTGAGATAAAGCACTTGCATGTATACACACACACACACAGCCAGAGGTACAATGAACAAAAGTGCTTCAAGTTGGGGAAGTAAAAGAACTAACCCAGTAGAAATACGTATAAAACCTTAAATATGTTACTTTATGTACAAAAACTAACAGGGGCCAATATCTCAGCTACGTCTGTATTCATATTTTTCAAGTAGGAATCATCGCTAACTATCAACGGTTTGCATTGTGATATTTTTTTTTTTAGGATAAGAGGTTGTGTGATCTGACTGACCTTGCCGGCAAAGTAATCAATCACTGATGTTTTTTCTAATCTGTCCTACGCCATTCTTGTCCAACTTTCACTAGTTGCCATCGTCTTCACCAATGAAAGTCTGAAGAAAAATATAGCCATGTCATAATAGGTTAAACAAGGACTGAGCATCCCACATATTCTGAACTTTTTTATGAATGTCTTACTTTGAGAAATTATATACTGAATATCTATCTTTCTGTTTTTTTGCATCTCTAAAACTTTTTGTAGAAAATATATCCATGTGTGTGTATACTAAATCTTTGCAATCCAAGGTAAAAACAAATTGACCAGAGCTATCTGAGAATTCTTGTAAAGAAAGTTACTTTGAGGGCCACTTTGAACCAGAGGGAGGGAAGACACATTGGTTCACATGAGGATTTTCTTAGTTATGCACAGCACAACAGAAAAAAAGAGGGGAAGCTGTTTATTTCCTGAAGAGGCACAGGATTCAGACAGCATAGAGGCAAAACATTGTTAGCTTTAGAGAAAAAGGAAAAGTGCAAAATAGCAGAAGAATGGGAAGGAATGGTGGGATTTCTAATAAAGCAGCAAAGAATAAATAAATATGTTTTTATCTCCAAAAGTGGTACAACTTCCCAGAAAAATGGAAGAAAATTCCAGACCCCCCAATTTTTTTCAACAATGCACCTATAAAAAGGCCACGAACACTAGGAGCAAAAGCTCTTTTTGCCTCTAAACTGAGATGAACCAAAAGCCTCTGTAAATGAAGTAGTGTTTAGGCATTGGCTGTGTAATGCATCACTACATACAATGTTGAATTACACATTGCAATATTTGTATATGTATATATATATATATATATGTATATATATATATATATATATATAGAGAGAGAGAGAGAGAGAGAGAGACAGAGAGAGAGAGAGAGAGAGAGAAAGAAAGAGAGAGAGAGAGAGAGGTAGATATATATACATATACATATACATGTATATATACACTTAGAGAGAAATAGAAACCATGTTCCAATAATTTACATACTACGAACATCATAGTATTCATTTAGTCATTTGCAGATGTGTCTTGCATTGTTTCATAACTCGACAATGGGATTATTACAATACAGTTTGCCAAACTGTGGTTTGACATGTGGATACTTATCTCAACTTCCCTTCTGTGAAACTGTTTTGGGTCTTTTTTAGTCCTGTGCGGCTGCAAAATGGGACCAGCCACAATCGCAATTAACCCTCTACCAATAATGTATAATGTGTGTGTACGTAAACACATACACACACACATATATACACATATATATAGAGACACACTAATAGTTGTCAACCAATACCAGGTGCTCCTTTCATTGCTTTTTGGGGACTGAAATGTACCACACAGGGAAAAATTTACGGAAAGAATTAAGGTTAAAGAGAGAAGGAAACATCCATTTTAAATCCTATATTATGGAATTTCTGTCCTTTACCCCTTAAAAGAAAAAATAAGCAATATCTGCTACATATTTGTAACTATTAAACTCCTCACCCGTCCCTGATTGCTAATTTGGACTTTAGCAAAAAAAAACAATGCTAAAGACAAAGATACATCAAGCAAAACCCAAACAAAAAAAAAAAAACTAAAACAAACTTGACAGTGAAATAAAGCCCTCACTAGTAACATCCATCTGCCATTAAACAAAAGCATCAACAAACACAGAAGTTTAAACTATGACAATTTGCTAATTGAGCAAAATAAAGAAATAAATGAATATCCTATCAGTAAGGTCTGTCTTCTTACAGTGGTTGCCAGATCACCAAAATCACTTTTAAGTGTTCCTCAGTAGGGAAGATTTGTGGTGGGTTGAGAGTAGGGATCATACCCAAATGGTCTGCAGCTGCAGAGAACAGACACTTCAGAGAGACAGCGTGACTCCTGTGACATGAGTTGCTCCACTTCCCAATCGCTGTTCATTCGTTCTTTATAACAATGAGCAGGTGGGTGGGCGCATGTGGAGGAAGCCAGGGAGTGCAGGTACATGGAGGTCTTTAAAAAAAATGTTTGTTTTTTTGGGAGGAAAGTGAGTGAGGTGTTGGGGAAGGACAGTCAGGATAGTTGATGGTTGCAGCTCCATGGAGTTTGATAAAAAGCATTCCAAGGTGAGACAACAAAAGGTGTGCCTGAAGTGTCACTCCCATCCGTTGTCCTTGATCATGTGAGCCAGCTCGATAATGAACTTTCCCTCTTTATACTTTTGACTGCTCTCAAACGCATGTTCCTGGAGAAAAAACAAAATAAATGGGGTATACCATATCAGCTACAAAAACCTGGCAGATTGATCATGTTTACATTTAAAAAGGTGTTCCTTATTTCAGGGGCTCATATTAAAAAATAATAGCTTAATATAATTTGATAAACATGATACATTAAATATCTAATTATTCTAAATAAGCAGTGTACATGCATGGACAGTAGGAGGAAGCTGGAGTATCTGGAGAGAACATGGATGTATCATGTATCTGGAGAGAATATGCAAACTCCACATAGAAAGGTCCCAGTTCCCCCGGGGATTCGAACTGGGAACACTGTTTCTGTGAGGTGAGGGGACTAACCACCACACCCAGACTGATATATATCATGCAGATTGTTCAATTTTGTGTTTGTATACATCACATTTGCCATAACAAGATGTTAAATTAAGTTATTTAGTGCTGCCTCTAAAATTTCAATTCACGATCATGTAGTGATTTGAAAAAATAGTTCAAAACAATCTTAAATTAGATTTGATTTTACATGACGGCCCTTTACTCAGATGTAAGGTCACAATAATCACTGGTTAAAGTCTATTCTTAAAGTCGACTTACTAGCGATTTTCAGAGCTTTCAGCTTTCCATGTGAAATCGAATTCTCAGTTTTTTGGAAGTGATATCTTCCCTGTCCCATATACATGATTTCCTAACTTAGCAAATTCTGAGATGGCCAAAAATAACTGGAAGGCAAGGGATGTTTAAGAATATTTTACTCAATATTTGATATTTAATGGGCGGCACGGTGGTGTGGTGGTTAGCACTGTTGCCCCACAGCAAGAGGGTACTGGGTTCGAGCCCCGGGGGAACAAGGACCTTTCTGTGATGCGTTTGCATGTTCTCCCTGTGTCTGCGTGGGACTTTACATTCTCTTTGGCTTCCTCCCACAGTGCAAATGATTGGACATTCCAAATTTCCCTTACGAGTGAGTGTGTGTGGTTGTTTGTCTTTGTATGTCATGTGTGTGGCCCTGCGATGGACTGTCCAGGGTGTACCCTGCTTCTTGCCCATTGACTACTGAGATAGGCTCCCTGCGACCCCAATAGGGAGTAATGGGGTTGGGAGTAAGGGGTAACGATAATGGATGGATATTTGATATCACTTTACCCTCCCACTCACCTTTTAGTCATTTCAAATGAGCAGGCTTAGATTTAAATTTAAATTCAAGGCTAAGTTGTATTTTTTAAGGAAAAGGTAATGTCAGAGATGAGTGTAGATATCTTATTTTTTCTCTCATAAAAAAGCTTTAAAGTAAAATTGAATTAAAGTCAAAAGTCTGTTTTTAGATATAAAAAGAGATATATAAGATATAAAGTAAATTATACGGAAGAACAGAGTAGGGATGTACAATATAGAAATACCTACAGTGCCTTGCGAAAGTATTCTGCCCCCTTGAACTTCTCGACCATTTGACACATTTCAGGCTTCAAACACAAAGATATAACATCTTATTTTTTTGTTAAAAATCAACAAATGGGACACAATCTTGAAGTAGAACAAATGGATATTTCAAACTTTTTTGATAAAATAAAAAACTGAAAACTTGGGCATGCAAAATTATTCAGCCCCTTGACTTTCAGTGCATCAAACTCTCTCCAGAAGTTCAGTGAGGATCTCTGAATGATCCAATGTTGACCTAAATGACTGATGATGATAAATAGAATCCAGTATATAGTATATAGTCTCTGTATAAATGTACCTGCTCTGTGATAGGCTCAGAGGTCTCTTTAAAGAGCAGAGAGCATCATGAAGACCAAGGTACACACCAGGCAGGTCTGATATATTGTGGTGGAGTAGTTTAAAGCTGGATTTGGATACAAAAAGATTTCCCAAGCTTCAAACATCCCAAGGGGCACTGTGCAAGCGATAATATTGAAATTGAAGGAGTATCAGACCACTGCAAATCTACGAAGACCCGGCCGTCCTCTAAACTTTCAGCTCAAACAAGGAGAAGAATGATCAGAGATGCAGCCAAGAGGCCAATGATCACTCTGGATGAACTGCAGAGATCTATAGCTGAGGTGGGAGACTCTGTCCATAGGACAACAATCAGTCGTATACTGCACAAATCTGGCCTTTCTGGAAGAGTGGCAAGAAGAAAGCCATTTCTTAAAAATATCCATAAAAAATCTTGTTGAACGTTTGCCCAAAGCCTCTTGGGAGACAGACTAAACATGTGGAAGATGGTGCTCTGGTCAGCTTAAACCAAAATCAAACTTTTTGGCCACAATGCAAAACGTTATGTTTGGTGTAAAAGAAACACAGCTAATCACCCTGAACACACCACTTCCACTTTCAAACATGGTGGTGGCAGCATCATGACTTGGGCCTGCTTTTCTTCAGTAGGGACAGGGAAGATGGCTAAAATTGATGGGAAGATGGATTGAGCCAAATACAGGACCATTCTGGAAGCAAACCTGTTGGAGTCTGCAAGAGACCCAAGACTGGGAAGGAGATTTATCGTCCAACCAGACAATGATCCAAAACGTAAAGCAAGATCTACAATGGAATGGTTCCCAAATAATCATACCCAGGTGTTAGAATAGCCAAGTCAAATTCCAGACCTAATCAAGAATCTGTGAAAAGAACTGAAAACTGTTGTCCAACCTCACTGAGCTAGAGCTGTTTTGCAAGGAAGAATAGTCAAAGATTTCAGTCTCTCAATGTGAGAAACTGATGGAGACATACCCCAAGCGACTTGCAGCTGTAATCACAGCAAAAGGTGGCGCTACAAAGTATTAAGTACAAAGTATTGTACGCCCAAGTTTTTAATAAAGTTTGAAATATCCAATAAATTCCGTTCCACTTGATGATTTTCTTCCCGTTTGTTGTTGATTCTTCACAAAAAAGTACTATTTTATATCTTGGTTCAAAGCCTGAAATGTGGCAAAAGGTTTGAAAAGTTCAAGGGGTCGAATACTCTCGCAAGGAACTGCATGAAGTGTCTTCCACTTGCGCACATATTTATCTAGTCTGACTGATTTTGAAATCAACAAAATTTTACTAACACAGAGAAACACAAAGAACAGACATTGGTTTCAGACAGCTACAAAATCATATCTCCCAAATGCCCAAAGCAGAAATCTGACATCACAGCTTTTTAAGTGCTGTATGGTTTCCCAGTCAATCTGAGCTTCAAGACAATTTTGTATGTCTATGTCTTCGAGTCCTAACATACTTTATATTGTAAACCACTTCTTTACTTTGCTTCTGGGGCGTTTCTGAGAATCTAATTGTTTTTATCACAAGAGGAGTTGCATTAAGTGAGTCATGTTCTTGTACTTTGCTTAGTTATTTTATAACCCCTTTATAGTCTTTAAAGACAATTAACGGAACTAGTCTCCTTAAAATGGCATGACATTTAATCACTAAAGACTCCCAGAGGTAGCAGCTTTGCTGTCTACAACTAACCTTTCCACGCAGTAATTAGGTTGTGCATGTGGATAGCACAGACTGCTTGATCTAAACCTAAAGAAAAACCTAAATAAAAACAAAGCTGTCATGGATGATTTAATGAGTAATGTCTTAAGGGGGAGTAACTTTGCTTTTTTGACTTGTCATAGTGTAAATATAGTCTTTGATGTTGATGAAAAATAAACAAACTATGGTTATGTTAAAAAGGAGTAGTTATTAAAAGGGCTTTAATAAAGGTCCATGGAGGGTGACTTACATATTTCCAGCCAAGGGTGGTTTTACAGTTTTCACAGTAGATATCAGCCACAGCGTGTAAACCTGTGAGGAGTACCCGCTCCTCAGCTGGCCCGCAGCCGACGTTAACCCTGTAAAGGAAAGAAATATGACATAGGTCAAAAAGTATGTATAAGTAAAGTTTTTGTAAATTTCATTAAATGGAACCAAATGGAACCAAACATTTATGTAACCAAATGCATTTTAATTTAGACAAATATATAGACATCTTGAATGCCCAAAACTCCTTGTTAAAATCACATTTTCTTTAAATTATTTGGATGTGAGTTTTTATTTGGCAAAGTAACATGTTTAGATAATACTAAGAGTATAGATAAATATTCTAGAAGAACAAGTGAAGGCTCAAGAAGTACCAAACACCAACATTCTATGCTGTGCCTCTCCCCTCTTACTTTACACTGCTCAACTGATCAGCTTTTGATTGACATTTTAATTCAAAGAACATGCCATGGCATATTTAAATGTTCTAAATCATAATATGTTACAGTCAAAACCTTTCACTAAATGTAGCTCTGTTATGGAAAATGGCATAAACATTGTTCACATGGCTCTATGTACTTTACCACTGGGTATTTTTGGACTGATTTATATGTCCTTTCAAGAATGTCTGGTGCCTTCAAGATTAAAGGCACAGAACAGTGCTGATTTATTTAGTACTTGTGTGTATGTGTGTTGCGCCAAATAATGAAAAGCAATATCAACTGGCAATTAAGTGCTTTTTAACTTTGCTGTTTGGGAATCATTATTTTTAAAAGACAAAAATGCACAAAAAGCACAATAACATTTACAAGGAGTGAAAACTGATACTTACACTGAATTAAAGAGATAGGCTCTTCCTTGACTGCCTTGAAATGACTGAAAAAGAGGTAGAGAGAATACATTGTTTTGCATTAAAAATCAGCACAATACTGTTGAGCAAAAGGAATGTCAGTAAATGACACCCTGGGGAATTTTTCTCCTAGTAACTAACATTCTTACTTGCTCTTCCACCTTGTCAAGGTTTCTTCACACAAGCCTGAATTGAAATTGGAAATAAAATGAGGTTCAGAAATGCTTTACACATCTGTGAGCAAGTCTTCTATTACTCTCAAGCTTCCAGTTTTAACCGTTTGCATCAAGAATAATAAGAATGCTTTCTGAATGAACTCTTGGGAGAGGCTTTAATTTGGCAAAATAAAAAAGAGAAAATCTATTGAAGTCATTAGATTAGAGCAAAATAAATGTGTTAATGCAGCATGTCATATCTGATTTCTGGTAAACTGCTTACATCTTTACTCTTTAGTTTCATGCTGCATTGTTTAATATTTGAAAGAGGTAATTGTGCATGTCCTCAAATATTTCCTTCCCAAAAAATAAAAAAAATTAAAGTTATGGTTGGAGAAGTTTCTAAAACAACAACAAAATAATAAATGCATAAACATATTTCTTAAGAAATTATCAGAAGACATTAATGGCAAAAAATGTCAGAAAAATCTTAACGTAAAAAATCTGCACAGTCAAATTACAGCATCTGAGGTTAATTACAAAATGACAAATATTCAGCTATTTCCAATCATTTTTTGGAATTGATGCTGTATGTACAGCCTAAACAGATAAATCACACGAATAAAAGCTCACAATGGCTGCTAAAATCTTTATCTCTCAGACTCTCAAGCGATGAGAAATATTAAATAAAAAAAATATTAAATAATCTTTTTTGACACTTTGATGAATTGTGCCCTGAAGGCATAGGCCACAATAAAGGAAATGGAGATGGACACACAAACACTCTGACAATAGCAAATGCTGACCAAACGGAATAAAAATGTTTTCTTGTTTTCAAAGTGTTAAATGAAACTTTTCTGATTTTGCTGTCAAAGACATCACAGAGCATAACAATAGAAGGCCTTCAGGCCCAATCAGCTTTTTTCCCCCACTGCAGATGACCATGGTAGATAAATGTATTGCTTTGGCTGAGGACACTGATCTTTTTAAACAACAAAAAAAGGTGGCTCTGATCCCTCCTGATCCAGTAGGATGGATCAGACCCGCCTTTTGTTTTTTGTTTTGTTCCCCCTAACTCTTTTGTTACACCTACAGTATACTAATCTCAGTGCTCCCCACCATTAGTTATAACTGATGAAGCCTCTTGGATAAGAGGCAAAACGTCTTCTAGAAAACTTCACGTCCAGTTGCCTAACTGAACTTTCCAAGCCTGACCATGACCTGGATAACTGAGAATCTTAGCGCTCTTTGTGCTAGCGACCCTCTTGGATCACTTCACAATGAGTGCAGTGCTTAATTACTTTGTTTATGACCGAAATAAATTGCATTTGTATTGTTAAAAATCTGTCTAGTTTGTTCTTGGATTTACAATAAAATAACCGGGGCTAACATTATACACACAGTCCAGAGAAATGTTACCTTTAGCAGCAAGGGGGAACTAAGTCAGTCTCTGTGGACTTGACAACAAGATTTCAACAGTGTTTGGGCCAAGGCGGGTGGGGGTCACACCATGTGACAAGAGTTGGGTGTCATATCCTTGATTCACTGAGGCTCAGACCTCAACTTAACCCCTGGCAAATACGGAAGGCTCCATCACTTACTAACTTCCCATATCTGCTTGCCATAGTCTATTTTCATTTTGGCTGCATTTTTCATTTAACTACGCTGCTGCTAACTTCATAAGAGATCACCAGGGTAAAACATTAGAAAGAGAAAATTCCCAAATATAGGTGAGAAAATAAAGATCAAATCATTTAAAAGCCAATCTTGGACAGGAAAGAACACAACACTTGACATTCATATTTAAGGGATGATGGGATTATTGAGGATTGTTTTCTAACATAAAGGAACCAAAAATCAGATTAAGGCTAGTACTCGGCCCACGCCATCCACATTTTTTTTTAAATTCACAAAATATGAGTAAACTGGAGAGTGGTTGCGTGGATCATTTTAAGCTGCTGAAGTTGCACTTGTTTTTAACACTTGTGTCCAAGAAAGGAATTCTACAAAGCAAATTTTGAAATCCCTGAATCCTCTTCACCACAGGAGACTAAGACAAAAATACTCCAATCTGAGAAGTCCGCTTCTTAAACCAAACAACAAAAAATCAATTGAGAGAGCCAAAATGCTTCTGCTGCTGTGGACAGCAAACACTAATGTCTTTTTACATTTCCATAAAACTTTTTAGCCACAGAAAATCAAAATCAGTTGTGAAAATTTATTAACTAAAGGCCTTTAAAGAACCTGCTTAGGTGAACTTTTACCATCTGCTTCAACAGATGCCAACTGTCATAGGTTAGGGTTCATCCCCAGTTTAAAGTTATCTTGTTAAACCCTTAGGGTTAATTGCATTAATTTTACAAGCAGTGCCATACCTAAAGATTAGACATGTGATATATTACTTACTGTGCTATTTTTCCAAACCAAATGAAAAGTTACAACCCTGATATAGTTTAATTAGAATGTTGATTTTCTTTTTTTGCCAGCTTTAGATTTTGCCAGTGTTAGATTAAATGTTTTCTTTGTGCAGTTGTTGGTGGTATAGATCAGAAGGTTAAAAAGGAAAAAAAAATAATATATCGCTACTCAACTGTATGCATTCGAAAACCAGAAGTTACTGTTGCATCGATAACTGTCAGGTTTTGATTAAGACTTTTTGAAGACAAAATGTCATAACTTCAACTTATCTAATTAGGAAACTGTAATATGAATCACTGAGCTAAAATAATAAATAAAATAAGAAAACTCAACCAGTGAAAAAAATGAGTTCATTTCCAAGTCCAACTGGCTTTTGATGTTATTCTAGCAATGATTTAATAATAATATCAGGAAAGTATCATATAAAAATACATATTTGACCTGAAAACCGTATTTTCGTCCTAGCATGGCTGTTAAATTTTTTTTCACATTATGTCTTTCCTCAAAATGTTAAATGGTATCTGCACAAGTTAAGTAAAAAAAACATTACAGACAAAATAGAAATAAATTCAGTAAGTAAACTGAAGTTCAGTAACTTGACTCAATAGAATCTGATAAGTTTATTATTAAAAAAAAAACACTTTCATTTCTGATAATGTTTTTTATTCTAAGGACACAATGCTGATTTTTTTACACTGTATTGTGGCTACAATAAAACAATGGCATTTTTCTAAAGTGGAATACACAGAAATTAATGATCATTATCAAAATATATACAACTAGAAGAGTAATGTCATACTGACTTTTCATTCAGTTTAGTGTTCTGGGCAAGCTTCCAGTTGGTTAGCGGGCTCAAACAGAACAGCAACCGCTGATGGTGAGAAATTAAATGTGCCATTAATCCTATAGATGTGTTTCAATCAGCCTGATGGGCAGGATGAAGCCAAGTGGTGCATAAAATACTCGGCCTACTGCTAAGTATTCACAATGTATTGTCCCAGGTCAGGTTTGATCACACTGCATGTCTCAATACACTGAAGTGATGCTTTAAATTTCATGCTGATGCTCATATTCACTGTTAAGGAACATGGCATTTACATATCAAAACTAAGTGAAACATAAACAATAACTGTCTCTCCAGCCAATTCCATGTCTGGTTAAGTAGAGCTAGAGCTTGCTCTCTAGGTTTACGAAGTTGAAATACACATGTGAGTGTTTAGTTCTGAAACATTATGAATAAAAATTTTTTTTCAATAACTACAATTACTGGAAACTGCATATTATTCTTTCAAATGTCTGTCTGGCCTGTGGATGCAGGTTAATCCTTTCATTAAGGCAGTGCCATCTGTATGCCTGAGATTTTTTAGAACCCAAACTGGAAGGACCCTGAAGAGCTAATTCACTATTTCTCTTTGTTTTTAGCATGACTGATAATAATTTTCAATACATGCAGAAGATGCATGTTACCATGTGGGATGTAAGTAAAAAATGGACAAGGAGGAGCCGTTTTTGGCAACAAGTAGTGGAAAACACCAGACCATGGTGTCATCTTCTCCTAAGTAACATAATCAGCTTAGAGGGATTGATGGTGAGGACTGGTGATGCAGCCTAGGACTACTAGACACACATATGCCAGCTAGGTGCGGCACAGAAAATAATTTATTAATAGATCTTTGAGCACTGTGGTAAAAATCAATATCAAGATAACATCAAGGACAATTTCCCTTTTATGTCATACCAAACTGTAGAGTCAGATGTTAAACATTCTCGCGCAAGTTTTTGTTCATTAACACAAAAAAAAATAAAAAATAGCTTTATTCATATTAAGGAAGTAAAGAATCTGAACAAAGTTGTCAACTGTTACAGCTTCATAAATGGGGAGATGGTCTCTTTCAACAATTTTAGAGAAGAATAAACAACATTCTGTGGTTGGGACTTTTTGTTGATCATAAACGAAGAGAAAAGTGGTCTGAATTTACATGGGGCTATCTCTGAAATAGTCACTGGATAGATGGATATGGAAATGTTGCATCTTGATGTTGACAGAAAAGACTAAATGTTGAAGAGTCTGGTCCTAATTTGCTGCAGTTAAATTTCTCTTCCTTAAGTTTTTAATCATGAAAGACTAGTTGAATCTTTTCTTGTGTGAATAAAAACAAAAAGAAAATGAAAGGTTACTGTTACATTTCAGTATTTTAATTATGTAGGAATTCCAGGAGCCATGACAAATGTGCAGTCAATCTCTTTAGTTCCTTTACCAGTCTGAAGCTTATTGGTGCTACTGGTTTCCCAGCATTCCAGCTGGACTGCCAACTTTGAGGAAGAGCAGGAAACAATGTGGTGTGGCTCTAATAAAACTAACAAAAATGACACCCTTTAACATGTCCAGCTTCTACCACGCTAACCTCAGGAGTACTGACGACTGTGCACATAAGTACAATGCTTATTTTTTAATTATGTGGTGTGTAGAAGCCAAATTATAAGTAATAATATGTAGACTGAAAACATCAAAAAGAGTTATTGCTTTGAGATCAAATGAAACTACCAAGGAAAGTTGAGTTTGGAAATGACCAAAATTACCACGTCTTCGATTTACCTGTGAAGCAATCTGTTAAATTTATCATCAGATGCTTTTCACACCATAAAATCAAGTTCTGCAGTGGCTATTAAAGATATTACTACAAAATATTAATGACCCCAAGGCAAACAACTTCTTTGCTAAATAATGCATAACTAGACATTTAGAGAAAAAAAGCGCATTTAATGCACACAAGTTTTGCAATCGGTACAAAACCAAACTAACCCATCTTTCTGGCACTGACTTCATTCTCGACTGTCAGCAGAAACCACTCTGCTGCACCACGGCCTGCGGTTAAATGTTAAATACACTTACCAGTTGAGAGCATTTAATTTGTTTCCCTCTACCTACCCCCTATAGAGGAGTGGACCATCGTGTACTGCAGAGATTTGTCACTATTTCACTGATCACCATTAGACAAGTAACACCACTGAAAACCACCAGGAATTTTCTCCAAACATCACTCGTTTTGACAGACCCATAAGTATAAACACCTTCACAAGATCAAAAAATATTCTAAACTCACAAACATATGACTATAAAGAATAAGCAATTCCCAGTATGGCTGTTTAAAGAGTTTTTTTTCTTCGTCTGTGAATCTCAAATGGTCAACTGTACACGTTCTTCTGATTTTTCTTTCCGATTGCTGTTCTTTCCAGTTTTATTGTCACATCGTCTTACAATTGTAAATCTTAAACTGGAAGATATTTGCAGTATCAGCACAGATAAAACTCATTCATATCTATATTGACTTCTCTGGAATGACAACTGCATTTCATTTTATGCAGCAAAAAATGAATTTCCCAAACAGCATTTTGCAGTGTTTGCTGTGACAAAAAAACAACCACATACATCTGATTTGTCTCTTAAAAGGTTAAGTGAGGTGCTGATTAGGAAGGTCAGTCTCTTTCTTTGGCCAGGGACACTTTTATGATAAACAAAGGTCTTACGCGATTAAAACAGAAGGGGATTCCAAAATTAGCATCATGGGGCCTCTGATCCTGCTGAAAGTAGCAACACAGTCTGCCGGTAGCTTTGTTTATGAAGCTCATCTGCCTGCTGTCTCTAGCACACTGTGCATCTCCAAGTATCAGAGCCACAGGAGGCAAATGGATTCTGACATGGAGATGGCGAGTGCACAGATTGATCATCTTTGCCATTTGAATAATCAGCTTAGTGAGGGGCGAGAGTGCAGCACACAGGTAGCACACAGTCACTCTCTTATTATAACTTGTAAAGGTCACTGCTGCAGTCACTGATGCTCATTTGATAGTTAGTACGTTTGTCACACTTTACTCACCAGTTGAGTTTATAATCAAAGCCAAATGCAGCTATAAATGTTTGTGGCACCTAGTGACAGAAGTGGTAACTGTCTAGCTGATGTCATTGATCATACCCAAAAAAGTGGCAGAGATACAGATCTCAGAGATACAGTGTTGGATCATGGCAAGATATCTAACTTATTCTGGTTTAGATTGTATATTCACAGTTCAATGATTAGAGGTCAAAAGAGCATCAGATCAATTTTGTTTTAGTAAATGGGCTGCTTCCTGCACACCATGCGGTCTGATCTGAATGTCTAATTTTGGTTTGGTTAATGAAGGCTGAAAACAGGAGGACTTATTATTCCCTTTATTTCCCTGAGTACAGACATGCAGTACATAATTTCTGTTCATAATAGAATTTATATCAGAAATTAAAATATTATAAGAGCCAAGATCATTTATAAATATGGTGGAACAATAATTGTTCTGTGAATTTTTCAGAACTGCTGGTTGTTGGACTTCATCAGCCAGCAGTTATGATTCCACCTATGTCTGTCCAGACTGTAAATCAGGCCCAGATATAACCACAAGAGCTTTACAAAGGGGAAAACCTGTAGTAAGACGGAAAGAAACGTTTTAAGTTCCAGTCTATGATATTTAGAACTTGATATTAGCTCTGTCACGGTATATGCGTGCATCATATATTCTGTTCATAAGCTCTTTGTAAACTGATGTTAAATGACTGATTTAAACCAAGCAAATTATTTTTTCCCCCTCTGAATATCACATTTCAGTTTATGAGCCCCCACAAAAGTATTTAAGTGGATAAGATATTGAACTCTTGAAGTACCAAGATAAAAGGAAATAAGAAAATATTTGAGCCCCAATTTAGGTTTTGTTTACACTTTTGACTCACCTTACATTAGAGTCAGAGTCTGATACTCTAATGTGACTCCTAGTGGTCTTCTAAAGTTAAACATTAAACCTTTGAAGTGTTTGTTTGTTTCTCAGTCAACATAGCTGAAGGTCTTGAAGGCCAAGCTTTGCACAAATTAATTATAAGGCACTCAATTTTAAGTCTTTACACAGCTCAAGATACCACTGCCATGATGACATTTTCCTTTTTTAAATATACTTCTTTCATATCCCTTTTAGTGTTTTTTAGTCTGAATAAATATTTTTGATTCTAAACTAAAAAATTGGTTTACTGATGCGTGGGATCTGGCAATGAATTTTTTTTTTTCAAATAGCAACAGGAATATTCGAAAAAACAAAATGTATGAAAAAAAACAAACAGAAACATTTTTTCAGCATGTCACCAACTTATCAGTCTTTTTCTTTTTTTTCGTATTTTCAGTGGATCTTCAGGGTTACCAAAGTTGCTCAGCAAGCAAACACAATGAAAGTGTTCTCTCTATGAAAAAAAGACAGAAAAATGGTCAGATTAAAATGACTGGGCAGCTCCTTTCTGCATTACACAAACATAAATATCAGCAGCAGTGGCTGTATTTTAAATAAGTGGGAATTTAGTGCCTAAAAGTAAAACTGGCAGAGATATAGTAAAATTGAACTTAGCACAACTAATACTAGGCAACATTCTCTAAGTCATTGGTCAGAATTTGCCATTTAGCTGAGCACAGATTTGTCCACTTCCCAGTATTACCAGGATGCTGTCAGTTGGCAGCTTCCTGGCATTGATGGGTTTTTTCATTTAAAAGATTGTTATTACAGATACAGATGGTCATTTTAATCCTTTCCTTTCTCCTGTAATTTGCAGTAAGAAACTTAAAAATTGGCAAACATTAGTACAGGTAAGCATCATGTCATGCTCCATAAAAAATAAAAGATACAAAAAATACAGTGATATTTGGTGGAAATCAGACTGACCAGTCTTGCGTCAAATAAAGTATGAGCCGTTTTCTTGACATATCATTCCTGGTGTGACACTCCAAGCTTTTAGCAATGTTAAAGCAGGCACAACAGATGGTTGGGATGCATGAGGGTACTTCTTTGAGAAAATGGACATCTGAGCATTTTTTGTATCTGGCAAAAATCTTCCTTTTTAAATTTATTGATGCTAAATATTTCTCAAAACAATAAAGAAAGCAGGCTTTATGCAACCTGTTTTTATTCTACTATTTATCTTAAAGCGACTTTTAAAAAGTCATGTGAATTTACAACATTAAAGCAGCTTTGTATTAATCATGGGTAACATGCCAAACAGAGCCATAGCTTAAATAAGAGGGGGAAAAGCCATAAGTTAGCAATAAGGTACACCAGAAGGTTTAGTTCCTTTTTTTGCACAGAAAAAGTTAAAGGTCTGTGAACTTGTGCTTAGAGTCACACTAGGCTGATGTAAATGTAGATTTAACCACTGTTGTGCAAGCCAAATGCCAAATAAGCAATTATCAATTCAGTAACAAGTGAATACGGTTTCTCCCAAATATGTCATATTTGGGATTATTTATCTTGTCTTATAACTGTTTATTAAGATATTTTCGTTTTTCAGGAGTAAAGCTGCTACTCAAAAGACTTAGGTTTTCTGTAAACAATTTGTCTGAAATTTTGGTGTCATCTCTAATGTCTGACTGAAAATACTGTAATATATATATATATATACGTGTGTTTTGGAGTCATGCACATTTTAGTTTAGTGATATACATTTTTAGCTAAGCTTAAACAAAATTTCCAAGGGGAGAACGTCTTCAAATTTGGAAATGGTGCCTATGCTCATACCTAAAGACCTATTTCTGACAGATCATGACATCTTAGTGGGAAAGCACATTCATGTCTGTTTTCATACCATATATCACAACACAAATATTAAACAGTTTTCCGCAATCAGGGACCTTCATTTGCTTATTGTGCTTCATCACATTTCCTATTTTTATAGAGCACTCACAGATTATGAGCGTAATTCAAGCACATTTCATGAGTGTGTTATTTTTTTCCCTGAGGGCCACTACGGTGGCACCAAATGTGGCGGCAGAGAGCTCTGAGAGACAACCTAAAACTCCCAGCAGCTTTTTCCCATGTATATAAATATCAACAGACCAGCTGAAGTCTTGTGAAATGCTGCTGGGTGAATTTGTCTGAAGAACAGAGAGATCTGTTTGAGTTGTGAATTGATACTAAGCTGCCATACCTTTGAGATTAGCTCATCATGGTTGGCTAAATGTGCCCGGCAGTGGATGCAGCTGTAAGTACGGTGACAAGATGGCAAGTAAGCCTGGAAGGTCTTAGACTTGGTCATCTTCACCATGTCAGTTTGGCAGGGCTCCTCAGTGGCGTCAGGGCTGGCACTGGAAGAGTTGCAGCTCTGCTGAACTTGCTGACAGAAGAAACACTGGAAGATGCAAGCAAAAGCCGTCGTTGTTGTGGAGTGGGTGTGTGGCACGCTCCACACAAACACCACAGGAGAAAATCAAGCCTGTAGGGGAGAAGAAACAGAGGGTTTATGATGAGAGGCACGTTTACATTACATTTCCAATATGAACAGCTCATTCACTAGAGCAATCATTAGATTACAATCGTCTATTATGTGATAACGATCTAATGAATGTTGCCCACAACTAATATGGATGTGTTAGTGATGTAACTTGATATCATGATAAATCAGAGGGCTCATACCATAGTTTGCATGGTAATAAAAGTCTTCTCTCAATCTTAATCTAAGATTAGTATGTTTTATTCAGAGTAATATGAGCCTATTAACTAAAACTTGAGTAAATGTATAAAAAATGACAAATTCCCTCATACAGTTCTAAACTTCAGCATAATCTGTAACTGTAAAGCTGCAATAACTTCTTTCCAACTATACATAAATTCATTCACTTACAATTAATGCTGCCTCATATTATACTTGTATAAATAAATCTAAACATATATATACACACATATATTCAGAATAGGCTCATATTTAGAGAAGACAAATGGATGGTTGATGCCAAAGGACACCTTTGCTTTTTAATATTTTGTTCACTAAATTAAGATACTGAACCAGAACTAAAGTAAAGCCGTAATTTTGGTTTTAATCCTACAAAGAAGTAAACTTCACTGGTCATTTCTCTATGGTTTGCAAGATTTTCAGTGCTTCTGCAACTCAATAATGAACTCAGTAAGGATGGATAAGCACTATGGACCGATAATACTAAAGAAAAACATTGGGGAAAAAAGCCAGACTGAGAGTTGACGAAAAGAAAACATATCTAAATTACAACTCCATCATGGCTCCCGGACTGACAAACACAAAAGCACACCAGGTGAGACCATGTGGGACAGACAAAAATAGTTGTTACATGAATGTGTTGACAAAAACATTTAGCAGATATAATTATGCTAAATAAACACCCGAATGAAGACCAGCTCCACCTCCTATTGTGCAGCTGTCTGGACCACAGCTTAAATTAATGCTGTCAAAAATATCCATAACTCCCTCTAAACTCACACTAAAATAATAATGTTCTATTTTACATTGCTATCCACCACCTTTGATGACCTTCTCCCTTGTTTTGTTGATTTATTTATGTTTATTGTTGTGTTTATGTCTGTGGTGTGCTGCAGGTAGCTGCTTAAAAGGCCTTACTGTCAGAGAAAAAAACACTTGTCCCTGTAATCGGTACCGTCTGTGTGTAAAGACTGTGACTGCCTTGCTAGTGGAAAAAAAGGTATGGCATCACAGACGTTTTCAGCTCATAAAGAACACAGTTTATTCATATTTTTAAAATGTAATTTAATGTTTTCACTTTCACTAAGACAATACACTATGTACAGTATTTTCAAGCAGCAGCAGAAATAAAGTTACATTTGGTTCGGATCCAATCGCCTAAGTTCTGCCGACAGATAAAATGCACATATTATGCTCAATGCCTAATCCAACTTCACTGTAAAAAAAATAAAAAAATAAAAAGCTCTATGCATCTTCTTAGGTATTACAACATTTCAATTATACTTCTGAAGTAGTGAGTGTGTTGTATACATTTAGCTCTTCAGCTATTTTTTTAAGATCTGAATTGCACCTCCCTATATTTAAAGCTGGTCAAAAAAACAAGATTAGGTAAGATTTTATTTACAACTTTACAATTACAAGAAGATCTGTTTGTATCTTCTTATTTGTTATGACCAGAATTTTGGTATCATCGCCATCTTACTTACGTTCAGTCAATTCATGAAAAAAATGACTGATTACAACTAAAAAGTAATGTATTAACTAGTGATCTAACACTGACATAACCACATTTTTTATACATTCAGTTATCCACTGTATTAGCTTGATACATTACCTGTTTGCTAGTTCAAATTTAACAGTTTTATTGTCATCAATTTAAATATTTCACTAATCTTCCTGCATTTTTTTTGCCAGTTTCTACACCCTAAAACGATCAAGTGTATTGAAAAGAAGCTAAGATTTATTATATTTCATAGCATTTAACATTTAATAACAAAGACTAAATTTTTGGTGTTAGTCGTGACAACCTTAAACTGTATGGTCTGTCACTTCTTTGGAATGGATTCACGTGTGCAGCCAAACAGAAGTGTGGGGCTATTGGTTCCACTTTCACCAATTATCTCTAAGCTAATGCATCTAATGTAAAGTAACAAATGCCAAACACCCAAAGTTCACATCATCTTTACTTTCTAGTTCCCAATTCCATGTTCTCAAATATTGCATCGTAACTACCAAATTCCAAATAATGTTGCTCAATTAAAATTTATAATCTAATTCAAAAATCCTCAAAGAATTGCTCCACCTCTTCTGAAATAAAATTCCTGATTCTTAAAACTGAAATTATCGCTATTGACATAAAAAGGAGATAGGTCTGTTGTTTGTCGCAAAAGTAAATGTAGCACAATCCAACCTCTATCTGAAGAGCAGCGCCAGCCAATTAAACTACATGACCTTTAACACTGTTCCAACAAGTGTCAATGTGTATACTCAGTTGTCCGATCACAAGTGGATCAAGGTTACACGTGCTGTTCACCTGCATCGTCACATACACCTCAAGTAACTACAGTACTCAATATCGGATGTCACAACTTCACTGTGTATGCACATTAATACATAGCCTGCAGGCATGGTGGGAAACTGAACATCACTGGTGTATCTACTCATGAAAAGTCTTAAAACATGTTTGAGACTCAAGATTTTAGCAATACAATGATTGATTAATAAGTATTGTTTCAGCAGCAGCAGTTTTTTTTTACTGTAATATTTTATCAATCTTTAAGTGAAAAATGAATATGCTGCCCCAAGCAGTTATACAAACGTAAGATGTACAAGGCAGAGATGATGGAAACAGTTAAGGACAGTTGTTTTCATACAGGTGAGGTGACAGCGATACATAGTGACACAATCAGCTCAAACAATTACAAAATGACTTTAATCTAAAACTTGAGACAATCTGGAGGCAGTGTGGTGGCGACATTACCAACAGTGTCTGTGAAGTGTTGGGGAAATGTTCCAGACAGCTGTGTCCTTTCTCTTGTTAAAGATAGTTCAATAGATTTGCAAAAACCACAACTGCTTCCACTTCCTCTAGTTTTAACAAAAACACAATTGTTTCACATTTTGACACTTCTTGACCCTGGCAAGAAAAAAACTTACATCAAGTTTTTTTCTTAAAATTTTAATCAAACTATAGGCTCAATGACAAAATTACAACTTCCAAATTACAATAATTGTGAAGTATAAGGTTAAAACTACAACTAAGGGACAAAGATTACCAATCGAGGGTTTTGTTTTCATCTTTTGATTGACCTTAAAAGTAGTGAGACAGAAGAAAAAATATATATATTTTTAAATATTTCACCCATTAAAAAAAAAAAACACACTGAAGACATATAGTCTGTTTACGAAAAAGGTTTAGAAGAAGGAAGAGAACGAAAACCTTGCATCCCAGGGAATGAAAACACGACTTTAAAAATGTTTCAGCGACTCTAGAAGTTTCCACTTGAGCTCAATGCCCTGCAACAGGAAGAGCAGCGCCAAGACAGAAGTCAGCAGCCAGACGAAGAAACAAAGGAGCTTCCGCAACTCAACAGGAAGCAGCCGTGACGTGAAGAAGCGTGGCTGCTCTGCAAACACACTCACATTCATGTAAACACATAAACATGCACAGAAACACACAAGAGGACCAGTAAGTTTCAATGCTGGCCACCGAGTCCTGTGACCCCAGACCAGCCATATTTGCATACACAACATATAATCACCACAGGTGCTTGAGGCTTAATCCGTGCATGAAAAAGGACACAATCCTCTCTCTGAATTAGCCTAGATTAAAGTCAGTGGCACGTGCACGGGGAGAGGTAAACACACGCTCACACACACAAGCTTTGCAAGTGAATCTTCAGCATCACTGACATCGGTCATTACATTAGTTTTGTCTGATGTGTGCACAGTGTGAAAGGCATCTCACACACTCATGCAGGCCGACAATGGGCATGCTGTTATTCACATGCACTGACAGCTTGAAATGACGTACATACTTGGATATTACTTCATTGATGGCAAAAATGGATAAATAACCAATTGTGTGTGGCTGTTTGTTTCAGTTCCCCCTGATGCCAAGTTGCAAACTTCTGAATATCCTAAACATCATGTCGTTTAGGTTCAATATCACTGCTTCACTAACATTTAATGCTATTTTATAGTAACCATGACTGCCAAATCTACTTATAACTGTCTTTGAATTTCCTGGTGAGAGATCTTTTGTTTGTTTATTTGTTTGAGCCCAGTTCACCACCCGTTTTTTTTTGGCGTGTGTGAAGGATACACAAAATAAAACTGTCAAAAACAAACTGTAGCTATGAGGTGAGAGAACAGGTAACCCAGCATTAACAGCTGATATCCCAAGCAGGCAAGTTGAAAACAAAGAGACTGCACATTGTGCGCCTCTGGTAACCGCGAACAGGAAGAAGTATCCAGACAAAAGACGTTCTCTCCTCTCTACTAAGACCAACAACAAAAAACAAAGACAACACGCGTTCTTCTGGATATTCTGTTGCTGAGAATAAACTCATCTTAATATTACAGGCGTTTGCAGCCCTGCTATTTCCCCCTGTTCTTTCACGTTCTCCTCAAACCGTGTTTACCACCATCAAAGAACACGACGCCAGCTCAGGCGCAACAGTGTGCCTGTGCCGTCTGATTTCATTGTTTGTTTCTCCGAGCAGTATGCGGGCTGTGTATCTAACACGACACGAATACTATCTTTGCTTGATTTTCTAACTGTTTTATTCTGTTGGTGCCGTACTCACCACCTGGATCGGATCTGAGCAAAGCGCAGTTCGGCAAAAAAACTGCTTGCTGAACAACGAACCAGATGGATGTTTTTTTCAGCACTTGATGCTTTTGGAGTTAAATAAGTGATTGTCGTCGCCCCTGCCTCTGGTCCATTTCTGATGCTACCAGGTGAGAACTTATTGTTGTGTCCTCTGGGTTCTGACGGATCTCATTTTTCCCAGCACGGGCTTTTGTTTTGCCTTTTGTGTGCGTAATCGACTGGCCTGGTTACTTTGGTAAGAGAACGTCACTGGGTAGGCGGGAAAGGAAAATGGATTAACAGTCGGATTCACCAATCAACGCTGCGTTGCCTTAACGTTTCTCCTGGAAAGACAGTTACCAGATCTAGAGAAACCTTCGGAGCCAAAATAAACCGTATGTCATTTTTTTTAACCTTTTACAATAGTTTTAACATTTCCACACACTACTTTGCATGAACTTTCGAATGTTTGACCGACACAAGTTATTCTTTTACGAATCACAAGTTTAAAATGTTTGTTATGCTTTCTTGAAAAAATTAAAACAAAGACGGTTGTTGTTTTTTTTCACCTTGTTGACCTAACTTAACTTGAAAAACTTCTCTGACACTAAGAGATGATGAATGAAACGTTTTTAAAGCCCCAAATCACATCACATTATACGTAAAGCGTTTAATGAATTGTATGGGGTAAATGAAAGGAACAAATTGTAACAAATACCGATGAAGAGATGTGTGCATTATTAGACACAAATCTCTTATCTATGTACTACCCACAAACACCAAGCTCATATTTGATTCTGTGAAAATAATAAGGAAAAAACTAACTCTATCAGCGTGTTATTGTTATTGTAAAGATTATTTCCCAGGGGGTCTGAACGCAGCACCAAGGGGAGGAGGGAGCACGCAGATACCAGGATGTGTAAATAAATACAAGATGAGAATATGAGTCAAATTTCTTAGCAGCTTTCTGATATAGAGGAAAATAAATTCACTATTCCTTCATTTCATGATTTGTGTCCCATCTGTGACTCTGTTATAGTCGATGGAAAGGTGATGCGAGGCATATGCACAGCTTAGCCTGTAGTGACAATTAATGATGGCACATTGTGTCACGGTTCTTATAAAAAGGGCATTCTCGCATGTATTGATAGGATGTACACCAGAGCAAAAACACAAAACAGCTACATCTGTCTCATTCTCAGGACATGAAAAGACAAAAGCACCAGAAAGATCGACTTAATGTAACAACTGAGTATTAAAAATAGATACTAGATTTTTTGTTTCCTGTAGGATTACAACATAGCTGTTTTACAAACCAAAAAGGAGCCAATCCGATTTCCAATGCTACATAGAGATCTCTGTGTGACCACGTGAGACAAAGTTGCTATTATTCCTGGTTGCATCGAGTGAAATCGAACAAAAACAGCCGCCTGGTTGCCTCCTCGACCCCTTCCTCCTCCAGCAGTTGCTGCACTGTTTACATCTCATCTCCGCGTCAGACAGACATTAGACAGAGCCTCATTCGGAATAAAATGTCACGAGTCATCAATAGCAATTATTCTAATGAACATTAGGAATTTCAAAAATGAAATCCCCCATGAATTTGGCATCTACCCCCAAACAAAACAACTGCCCTCCTCTTACCCTTGCGTCTCTGACGTCGTGGACGTTCGTCAGATTGGCTACAAAAATAATTCGTGGATTGTTTGTTCATTTATTAATACATCTCTGTTTTTCATTCAAATATATGCAAAGTGAGGCTCACACGATGCTAAGACACCTTGAAGCCTCGTTGCTCCACCACAAGAGGAGGATGCAAGTAAATACAACATCTGCACACAATGCAGCCTCCTTCAGAGGTGCAGGCTGTGCGCGCGTGAGCGTTATGAAATCCGTCGGCTCACTGTGTTTTTGTCATCCGTTCACGTGGCATTATAATCCTTTCCCTATAAACACTGATCTCGGATCTGCTGATAAAGAAAGAAAACTCCGCAGTAATAAAGACAACAGAGGTGGTGAAAAAAATAAACAAAAATAAGACAAACTGCGTCTTTCTATGTTGTTCTCTGAAGCGTAACCCCAGTAACAGTTTATACAATGTGCCTAATTAAACAAAAATATAAACTGATAAGCTCGCGGTGACCGTAAACAGGCTATAAAGGGCTATGAGTTATTGTGTATAGGATTAAGGTTCCATCTCCCGGAACCGTCAAGAGGAGAAAGGACCCTGAATCTTTTCACAAACTTTGCAGCTTTTAAACCAAATACTCAACTCGAAGGTTTGTGCAATGACATTAAAGTTTCTGTTGCATTGACTGTTTAAACGAAAGCCCAATGACAGATCGAATGATATGACAAGCCCATAAATCTTTCAGCATGGCTGGAAACAAGCAGGCAGGAAAACAATTTGCTGCAACAGCTGAGAAGTCACAACCCAAACATACACTAAAGAGGGTGGTTCACTGTGCGCTGGTATACCATTTTGTACGTTTTTCCTTTCTGTGTCCTCCAGCAGGTCACTGGATATGAACTCACCCCCAAAACACTTCGCCTTTCCCGGTTTGAAACCAAAACAACCCGGTGAGGAAATAATTGAAGCTGCAAGAATCTGGATTTTAGCAGAGTGGACAAAGGGGGGGGGGGGGGGGGGGACATTAAATCAGACACCTTCACGATTCCATGAAGTCAGTCCCAGCTGGTTAGGTCGAGCCCAATGCCGTTCGAAAGCATCCAAAACCATTAGCGTCCCATTTGGATCTCCTCTGCGCTCATGAGCCTAACCGTGGAAAGGTGCAGGGTTTATCCGTTTGTTTCCTTGACTGGACACCCATCCGTCGGGTGGCTCACTATGAACGCATGCCGAAGCAGCTGGCTGCCTTTTGAGGGGTTTCACCTCTACACTTTTAGCTCTCGGACAGCAGTAAGACTGGACGAGCTGTCCAGTCTGCGGCCTTATTTATATCGAAATCCTAATTAGCTGGGATGCGCAGCGCGCTTTGAATAATGCACAAACACATGCACGACCGCGCATCTGAAAGATGTTACCGACTGATCGGATGATCCAACTATATTCTTGTTGGAACAAATACATGGTCTTGCGGTGGGTTCAAACTTGCCCAAAAAAGTGAAGAAAAAAACGGCTTTATATTTCACAAGTCGATGTTCGGTGCATTTAATGCTGTAGGACATACAAGCGTTTAAAAAATCATCCACATGGAATCATATAATCGTATGATTAAAAGCTTTCATCACATCTCTTCATCTGTATTCACTGGAAAAAATAATCTGTAATGGAAGTATCGTAGCTTCTATCACGAATACCAAGCACAATAAAAAAAAAACCTTCATAATTTGGACAAATGCAATCAACATACAACACAAAAAACCAAGTAAAATAAAAAAGTCTTTAACAATTATCTGAACGATTTACTAGTGAAAGATAGCCTTGAGATTTAGGGACACAAACGGAACCATTAAATATTACATCTGTACTGACTAAATTGCAGTTTTTGATGCTGCTTGTTGTGCAGGACTAGAGGTACTTCAAATATAGTCCCCTATTTGTGGAGTCGAACTTAAAGAATTTCATTTAAGATTTAAACTTTGGAAACAAGCTGTCACATTTTATGTTGTTCATTTGAAATTGTGATTTTCCTTCATGGTGAGGGCTAGCAATGCTAACAATAGCCTATCTAATATTCATTAAGCAAATTCTTTTTAGATCAACACCCATTTTGGGTGCTTACATATAGCCTTACCTAACATTCTTTATAACCTAAAGAAACAAAGAAACAAAACAAGGTTTACTAAATAAAGTCTCTTATTTTCGATATCTATGGAGGTACTTGAAGGCAGCAATAGCCTAGCTACAGGACTTGTTCTACAAATAGCGTCCAATAAGAAAGAGTAAGATTATTTGGCTGACCAATCAAATGAAAAGAGGGCGGTCGTAAATGATAATAGCCAATAAACCCGATGCTGGAGTACCGATCGCGCGCCCATGAGGTTGATTGTTGTTTTTGGCAAAGCGCGCTACAGAAACTGACGCGTGCCGGAAAAAAACACTTTGACGCGCATGCGTGGCCGCGCAGCAACTACGTAGTTAAAACAGCACACATAAACAAATCGCCATTAATCAATAAGAGCGATTAGTATTAACGTTCTCGTCGACGTTCTCTCACATTCCATTATATATTCTATTAATCCTAGGCCCCATAGTTTCCTTTTAAGATATGTATATTTTTAATCTTTTTAAAAAACTTAATTTTGAATGATAGGAGCAATACATTTAATATGATTTTGCAGATGAAAAGCTTTTTCCGTGCGGTTTAAATGAACCAATTCTGTAAGTTTGAATTTAATAATTAGCTTTCACTTCATTATGGGCCGTGTCCGACTAAATTAATGACATTTTAAATTTATGAATAAAATAAATGCCTTACTGTGAAAGAGAATGCAGTAAATTTCGATAAATGATACAAGAGCGCCCCCTGAGTGTCACTATGAAAACAACACAATAAAAGTAAAAATGTTATTCATTGTATTTCCTGTGAGCACGTGTCTATATATGAAGTGACACCAAGGACATAAATCAGAATTAACCTCCATATACACGTGAAATTAAACTCTGTCTGAAAACCTTGCACAAACACTAGTGAAAAGCTCTCACTTAAAATAGTGAAAACATTTACCTCTTATATAACCTACTCAAAAGCTCTTGTACAAAGTAGTTAGACCTGTTTATATAAACTGGGGTGTAGAGGCAGGGATGTGTTTTTTCCTTGTCACAAGAGGGAGTGAGAGTGTCTGGGTTTTGGATGATGGCCTGATAAATATCACCTGTGTTTGCCAATGACTTTTAGTTTTGTTGTTTGGTATGGAGAGGGTAGATGTAGGCTTCTGACGACTAAATTTATTTTCCATCTTGCAAGTCCATTCACAATATGCCACAAAGTGTTTTATACTGAAAGAGTCAAAATTAACACAGTTCAGGCAGTAAAGGATATATGTCTCCTCTTTGGACGTCAGACACGTCCTTCCCTCAGTGGCTAATTTGGTTTCTGATAGTCACACTACATTGTCAACAGAAAATCTAAGTTACAGATCTTTCCAATGCTTCACTGGATTTGTGCACTTTGGACCACCTAACGACTTCGGATGGTGACCGAGAGTAAACTTGAATGAAAGGAAGAAGCACATCACAACCCATGGTGTTTGAAACTTGGTATTTTCATACTGTGAAGTTTGCATTTGCTTGGACATATTCGATGCTGGTTAC